ACAATCATCTACTCACAAACCTCATTCCATCCATTTTCAGTGCACTTACAGTGACCACCAATAGTTTTGTGGTGCATTATCGTATCACTTTAACTATTTTCCCTACCAAAAATGCTACCCGATCTTTATAACATGACCAGGCTGTATTATTTTCCAGTTAAGAGGTGCATTACTTAAATTACACCTCTTTTATCACTGTGTTGACCATCTAAAGTGCCATCTCAAGAACCGCATAAGACTGGATCAGGTCACAAAGACAGCATGTGATATCAGAATGACCCAGGAAACAGGCCGTCCCGGAGCAGGATGTTGGTTTTAGCTTTTGAAAAAGAGATGCTCATTGAGTGGCAAGGTCGCATTGCATCGAAATGTGAATCTAACCATCGTTTGACCCACCACACAAAAGGAGCCGGTGCAGATGAACTGAACAAACAGCCCACCGTCAGCTCCGATAAACAGAAAACAGAGACTCGAAGCATGCGGGACACAGACACTGAGCGATTTCACCCGGTCAATAACACAGAGCCGAGCAAATTGAAAAACCCTGCTGTTTGTTTAGCGCTGCGGTAAGGTGCCTCTCCAAACTACACAAAAAAGAGAGAAGCTGAGGCCGAAGGCAGACAGATGAATTCAATGAAAACAAATAAAAGGTCAAGACTGGGACCTAGCAAGACCGCAGGGAGAGCGGAGCGCACAGCGTGACGTTTAGAGTCAGGCTCCATTGTGTTGACTACCCTGCTAATGAGCTTCCAGTGAGAGAACCGGTAGCCGAACATGAGTGTCAGAGGTGTTAATTTGTAGAAACAGAAAGGAAAGAGCGAGAGAGTTAAAAAGGGAGGACAGAGCTTCTCGTTTGTTGAAGACAGAAGTAGTTGTATAGCTGACAGGACAATGCAGAACAGAGGGCATCCCAGTGAATACAGGTCACCAGCCCAGCATGTCACAGGAAGGGTTTCTTTACAAAAACAACAGATAGAGCCCAAACAACGACCCGAGTTCAACCAAAACAAATAACCGATCAAGTAAAATGATCCCTTTTCACAAAGAAACTACACCGGTCTGCCTATTCACACTGTTTGTAGGCCATTGTGCACCATTCAAGGCTGATGATGTCCTAAAATCAATAGCTATATGTCTACCCCTACCCCTTTCACCTAGTTTAATTTCATTGCAAATAATATTGGCAATCAATTACCTGGCTTGAGCCATTGTGTGTCCAGAAAATAATTTTCCCTCAGCCTTTGCTCGTGTGTGGTAATAATGGTTTGTACGGTGGGAAATTAAGAGGCCCTCTAAGGTCTTTTGTATGATTGCACATCAGTGTGCAACCTATAGCGCAGAGCCATCAGTAATCCCAGTAATAGAGGTGAATCAGTGCGGTGAGGCGGCCAATCAATGTCCACGTCAGCTCAAGGTCATGAACAAAATAATGATGGTGATAAAAGCAATCCAATTACACTGATGTGATTAATCATAAAATTATATTATGATTCCCGTTCTCAATATACAGTTAAACAAGTGTAATCAATAAATAGATCTATAGTTATTCTCCTAAAAGAAAGACTCTACTGAAGAATTTCGAAGAGATCTTAAAAGGATAGTTCATCGAGAAAATTCTGTCAGCAGTAAATGATGACAAACCCTCACATTGTTACAAACCTCTACAGCAGAGCATAAAAGGTGATATTTTGAAGAATGTATGGACAAAAGCAGCTTAAACAATAAGTCAATGGGGTCCCAAAGAACACTGGATTCCACTGATAAAGAAAAAAAGAAGAAAAACATGATTTCCAAAATAATTCTTATTTTGTTTTCCACAGATGGAAGGACCTATTTGGAACAACATGAGAGTACATGATGACCAAAAGCCAAACATTTCCCATTTAATTTTTATCCAGGATCAAATTATCGGGGATATTCTCCAAACACAATGTCTCATTTGTTTCTATTATTATTTTGTCTGAAACATTACTGAAACTTCATTATGTCTCCTAAATGTTAAGAAGATGATAGATAGATAGATAGATAGATAGATAGATAGATAGATAGATAGATAGATAGATAGATAGATAGATAGATAGATGATAGATAGAGTCATTCAATATTTTAGAATACCTTGATTTACATTAAGCTTGCCAATCAAGCATAGGCTATCATAAGAGCATGAATACTTTATTGTGTGTGTGTGTGTCCTACTCTCTTGCTTGTTTTAGCCGATGCATTTGGCCATGAGGGCACTCTAATCCAGACTGTTTAAACCTGGAGAAAAGGCAGAGAACAGAGGCTCCTTCACAAACAGAGCCTCTTCCCCTGGGGGGAAGCTGAGCCACTAATCCTGCTGCCCAGTAAATGAAAGCATGCAACAGGGACAGGTCACCCAAACTCGCTAGAAGGGAGGAAAGAGAGAGAGGAATATCAGAGCAGTGAAAACAGCCCATGGTGGAGGTGGAATACTAATCTGGAGCAAAAGAAGAAAAAAAGAAACATACAAATCGATGACCATTCCAGGGGTTCAGCAAAAAGATTAAATGTTCTTTTTAAGCCATTAAACCGAATTAAGCTCACCAACCCGGATCAGACTCAATCTAATCTTTTCTCAAGCAGGTGGTATGAACCTTCCGCTGGCAGACCGCAAGAGACTAAACAGAGCTCTTCTTCATTTCATTGTAAAATTAGTTTTGAATCAGTGTCTAGTCGTGTGCTTGTTGATACTCTGGAAAACACGCTTGGTGATGTCTTGGCATAATTGTGTTAAGATCTCCATGAATGGGGCTCAAAATCCCAACGCTTGTCAAAATAAAAACCTATTTTTTGGTTCTGTCCCAAATTTTTTTATATTCTAAATTCACGAAACTGTGAGATCCACCGCAAAACAAAACCCTGACAAAAGAATTTGTGTGCTACAAGGCGCCCTCTGCTGTCTATATCAGTTGCTGCACTGTCCCCTGACCTCTCTGAATTCATTCCTTCTTAAATTCCACATTTTGGTCCATATGTGGCAAATGACTCCCGTGTCATTGTGTTCGCATTGCTCCAGTGTAACATGGCACCCGCACTCCCACTGCGGCTTAAAATAACAAACGCTGGTCAGTCTTACGGCTCGGTGAGCAAGCACAGCGGGCGTCCTCCAGATGAGAAGACGTTTTTTACAGTCACATAGAGCACCATGGAGCATAGCAGAGACAAAGCAGAAGAGACCGTGCTTAGGCGTTGGAAGCCACTGGATGAGCGGTTATGCTCACATATGCACAAAAGCACATGCTACTGCGAAAATACAAAGACATGGGGCAGTCGACTAAAGTCGGCCAATTAGGCCGATAACAGAGGGGAAGATTCAGAAGAAAGCAGAAAACATTATAAAGAAGAAAGAGGCTAGAAGAACAAGCCCTGCTGGGAGGGAACACAGGGGAAAAGAAACCGAGTGAAAGCGATTTTCAGTCACCGGACAGCCAGAGACACCAACCAGTAAAGCACTGTTTAGTCCTTCTGTTGGGCGCAAAATGATTTGTCTCCCATTTCCACTGGTTAAACACAGTTTCATCATCCTCTCGAATGCATTTTTCTTCCAACAAAATAAATTTTCCTCAGGTTTTGAGAGTTGGCATTGGTGCAATCTAAATGCTTCTGTGACTTAAAAAGCTGATTTCTTCAATTTATGAATGAATTCACTGAAAGGACCCAGAAAAAAAAAGAAGTTCTTTCACTCTTCTGCTCGGGATAGGAAATTACTGCAAAAGCTCTGCCTCGATGGAAGCATTATCTTCATTGTCTATCTAGGATGCATTTTGCTGAACTCAAATTCCAACATTTGAGCGAAGCTGTGCTGAAAAAGAAGCTCATTCATAAGGTCTTACTGTCTTTATCATTAAAAAAAAATAAAAAATTCAAAACGAACCATATTGAAATATTTGCTGGACAACTCAAAGCTCTGGCACACACAGAAAAACATGCTCTTTTGCTTTTTTTTTAGATGATTAAAATAAACCTTCATTAACATAAGCATAAATTATTCCAAATGTATTTATTTTTAAATAAAGTGATAAACTACTTGGCCAGTTTCATGTGTTCTCATTCTTGTGGCAGAGAACTGGTACTTATATGCTATTTTAGGATTTTTTTATTTATTTAACAGACTGTGGAACAGATTTTTCTAGTGTGGATTGAGACTGCTTTAAGGACAAGATGCAGTCACCATTAACAAATCACCTTATGGTCAATGATAAATGATCACGCTTATAGAGACTTCTCTCTGGTTCCAGCTGGCCATATGGCACATTGCACACAACACAATTTCTGGACATATACGATATATATTACCTGCTCACATCAAGTTCTTCATTTTGTTTTATTTGCTTTTTAATCCTTAGCAAATGTATGTGCTTTCAAATAATGTTAACACTTAGTATAATATGAAATAATAAAATAGTAAATAACTTTCTAATACATAGTCAGTCTCTTAAATTTATTCCAGTTAATAAACTTTATTCCGGGGGGGGGGGATGAATAAACAAAAAAAATATTGCTTTACTGTTGTACTGTGACTTTCGACTAGAGTATATGAGTATTCACAGCTTATTTTCTATTTTTAAAAATGTCGTAGACTGATTTTTACACTCCAAACTCGTTATTTTTTTGCTGTGGTAGCAAAGATGTGCATTTCAATAATTCTTAGCATTTCACATTTGTGATCGTGTGCAAGCGTGTTCATTATCCTAATAACTGGCACGTGTATAGTGTAAAAAACATATTGGAAATGTCCAACTGCAATCCATAGGGAGCACTTCAAAAGCGAGTTCTACAGGACAAGCATGATGCACCCTAATATTTCAATAATCCTTAGTTAAAAACACATGCACTTGCTATTTTTCCCTGCTTCATTCACCTTATGCATGATTTATAGAAACCACAGCATCCAGAGCGCACTTCAGAAACTGTGTCTCCCGCAAACCTCAGCCATTAATTCATCCTATTCTTAGTTAATAAACACAAAGCCCTCTTACCTTCATTCTCTGGGTAATTCCGTAAGGCTTGACTCGGTGTGAGGGAGGGGAAAACAAAGAATAGAAGGGACGGATAAATCCAAAGGGTTGCCATTTTCAGGCTGCGCTGAGCGCGCGCTGCATCCCTCTCGCTGTAGAAAGTTACTGAGGCTCGCGATCAGAGCTCAAGTGAGGAGAGGAGAGCAGAGCAGAGGAGAGGGAGGGTCCTGGACTAGCCTCGGAGTGTCAATCATCCTGGGCTGCCAGGGAAACGGAGGACGGCGGAAGGCGCGCGGCTGCTTTTAAAGGCGCGAGCTCGATAAAGATCTCAACCGCCACACAGAAACTGAAGGAAGCGCGGTGGATGGCACCTGCAAACTTTCATTTTAGACTGGCTTTAAACTGCTTAATTCTAATTTGCTGAGGTAATTTTAGTAGTAGCCACACTTTGTTTGATGGTTTAAGTTTCTGAAGTAAGCTATTAGGCGGAAAAAAGAAAACGTCTCGTATTACGACAAAATAAACAAACATGGAATAATTTAAGTGATTCTCTTTTTAACCATAAAATTGCACTTCGTTTACATACTGTATAGGTATGTCTTTAAGAAAATTTAAGGTCAAAATTAAGGTAAGTACGTTAACGCTTCTAGCTACTCAAGTTACGCGATTTCAGTTGCAGTAGGGGTTATGCGCAACAGACTTAAACAGGTCTCATCTCTTCCAGTTCAAGCATTTTGCATATGTATACAAAAATGATCATAACCAATGTCTATTACATAGGCCTATAAGGATTGATATCAAAAAGTTTTGTATTTTTATACTTTTCACGAACATTTAGATATAATAATTGAATAAAACATCAACAATAAAAACAGCTAGCTGTTTTAACATGATTACAAGTCTATAGATAACACCATTATTTAATGCGGCTGTTAACACGTTCTCCAACAAGTGGAAGCGATGAGACCTGTTTTCCAGGTTTGGTCAGCCGGCATTCGACACATACCCTGTTGCACGTTATTGCATTGTTATATTCTGCCAAAGGGTGCTATATTGAGTACAAGCATTAATTATTTTTCTATGGTCAGTTTTCTTTCACGTTTGTGGCAGTATCCAAAAAAACACCTAAATATTGCCATTCACTATTTCCTACATAACTTATATAGTCCACTTGAAAGAGTGAGTAAAAACGAGTGAACCAATATGAGTGCACCAAAAGGGCTGCTGTTTTTTGCAGTTTTTGCTTGCTGATACAACTTGCATTTTGGAGACCACCACTGTGGAGACGTAGGAATTCAATAAACAGGTCCCTCACAGTACATTATGGGTACACATTGAGTGTACATCGGTTATACACTAGTATATTTGTACACTAGTCCACTATGGTTTCAGACACTACAAATGCTGTCCTCTCAATTAGCACACTCTAGTAGATTTCAGACACAGCTTGTAATACTGCAGTCATGATAAGGCTGACAGCATCAAAAAAAGTGTTCTGTTCATGCACTTTTAACTGTGTGTTTTTGTATGGCTCATAACTTAATGCTGAATTTTTATCATTATTGTGCCACAGTTAGCAATTATTAAGCAGAAAAAAAGAAAATGTCTCATTAGTTTGGAATAAGCAAACAAGATTTACATATAATTCTTAAATGATTGCCTTAAATTATTAAGGCATGTTAAAAAAAAGCATTCAGAGTACAGACTAAAGCAATAAGCCAAGCATTTTGTAAAAACTGTGGTAAAAATTACTGTAACACATGGCAGCTGGCACATACATGGCACATACTGCTTTTATAACGGCAAAAATAACGGAAACTGTCATCATTTACTCACCCTCATTGTCATTCCAAACCTCAATGTCTTCTGTGAAACATACAAGATGATATTTTAAAGGAATGTCTACAATAAAAGTCAATGATTAGCAAAACTGTCAATGGACAGTAAAACAAAACTGTTCTTTTTGAGGAGTTACCACATTTTTTCAAAATATCTTCTTTTGGTGAGTAAATGATAATATAACTTGTTTTATCACATTGAACACATTAACAATAATCACGCACAAAAACAAATCACAAAAAAAGTGCTTATAGGAACATTAAATTTGAATTCAAGTGTGCTCATACATACCCATTTATCTGCTATTACAATGCACTTGAGCATAGCTCATCCAATAAGATTTTAGATCCAGAACTATTCTTTTTAAAATAAGGTATTCTAAATGGACTACAGTAGAATTAAAATTGCAAGATATAATTTGTAATCTTGGCCAGATCTGGGAATCATAAGGGAACAACGACCAGTGAAACCAGCATCACTTTATCCACTTTCTCTCTGCTCCAACTGGGATTTTCTAAGTGTCCAATTAAGACAATTAAGCAATTTACACCCTTTACAGGCCGCATGCCAATGACCTAATTTCCCCGTGGGGCGAAATAAGAAAAGGTTTTTAGAAGGCTTCATTCATCCAGTAACAAACCTCCGTCATGGCAACACTATCAATGGCATGGCAAGGCTCTCGGACTCCTCATCTACCACCAACCCCCCTCTAAGGCTTTTTGTGTGTGGGATGTTTTTAAAACACTCACAATCCTCATGGTCACTGTTTATTGTCTCTGAATGCTACAGTAAAATGCAGTGTCAGCTTCTGCTCTTCAAAAGAAACCATGGAAGTCCAGACAGAGTATATGAAATATGTCTGCAATATTCCTTCCGCTTTCATAACACAAATGGCCATTAGAGGAGGATAGTGAGCTACTGTTAAGTTCTTCATAGAATCACTGCACGGTGTATGTTTAGCTTCAGCCAGTGCTATGCTCAACACACACACATACACAAAACCTTTCTTCTCAGACTAATTCATGTGCCATTTGTGCTTTTCTGCCATTCTGTGTCATTTTGTGCCACATCAAAGCTTAATGGTTGACTTTTTAGGAAATGCTTCAGTCTCTAACTTTTTTTCAGCCCATTTCTAAAAGGATTGAACTCTGGTCACCTGCTCTCTCCCCCTTTCACCCTGAAAGGTCAGTCAGTTATAATAGCTTGGATTGAGGGCCAAATCCAACTCTTCATAGTGCAGATTGTTCTATTTGGCAGGTTGCGCTGCTGTGCAGATTCACTGCTGGAAGAGACACTAACCGAAAGAAAAAAAGAATACCACATGCACATGGGACCACAAAAGAAAGCAATCTGTTGACCTCGAAAACAAAGCAAGGTGTGCAAATGCATTTTGCCTGTTATTTTACTCATTACATGTACATGTAAATTAGAAATTACTTCAATACTTTAATACTGAAATACACACACACACACACGCTACTGTTGAAACGTTAGGGATCAAAATGATTTTGGGTGCATGTGTTGGGGGAAAAATCAGCAAGGGTGCATTTAATTGATCAAAAGTGACAGTAAAGACATTTATAGTGTTACAAAAGTTTACTATTTCAAATAAATGCTGTTCGTTTGAACTTCCAATTCAGTAGAGATTCTGGAAAATAATCTATCACTATTTCCACAAAAATATTAGGCAGCACAACTGTTTTCAACTATATAAAACATAAAATATATTAAAATAGAAAACAGTTATTTTAAATTTTAATATAAAATATAATTTATAAATTATTATAAATAATTATAAATTTAATATTTAACCGCGTTTGGTCTCGTACTGTATCGCGTACCTTGTCAGTGTCGTGCGCTTTGCTTGGCCATTTGTTGTGATAAACA